AAAAAAAAAAAAAAGATTTCAAAAAGATAGAAGAGCCACATAAAATGATACCTACCTGTGTCTGTGGATCAGCATCCCATCTTTAAGGGGGTCAATGACAGGCTCTACCTCAGAGAGTTTTTGTGGGGATTAAACCAGCTCATTTCTAGAAGTGTTCACTGGAGTCTGGCACACAGAGGAGCACCCTAGAGAGCCCTGTGACAGCTCAGATACATTGCAGGGTAGAAAGGTCCCCAAATGTGCATGGGGATGCTGCCCCTGGAAAACAGGGGTTACCACTACAGAGCAGGGAGGGGAGGAGGCCACAGGGACTCGAGGAAGAGCCAGATGTATCTGCAAGGTGCACCTGCATTTTTTAAAACCTGAAGGAGGAAACAAGAGAAATGAAAATGAAATTACCTCAAGGTCATCAAGGGAGCGAGTGATACTGAATCTCTTGGATCTCCCAAATGATCTCCGGGCAGGTGTGCGTGGGGAAGGCTGAGTGAGTCCAATGCCCCGCCCAAATTTTGAGCCCTAAACACAAAGAAAAACAGTATCAGGTTACTCTTTTGGATAGAGGTGTTTAGTTTTGTCCAATGCATGGAATAGCAGAAAAGCAAGGAATACTGTGGAACGAAGACTTAAAACACAAGACTTAAAATCATCCCAGGGTAAATCTTATGTTAGGTATATTTTATACAAGAAAAAAATGCAAAATTGAAAAAAAAGAGCATCCCATGATCATCAAGTATTTGCTCTGCCAGCTGTGTGCCTCCCGCCAAGCCTCCACCTCTGGCATCACAGAACAGGGTGACGGCAGCCCATCCGCAACGCTGTTACCCACATCAAATGAAATGGCGTGCAGGGATGTCTTGAACAGTGGATACAGGACATTAGGAGCAATGACGATCAACAGGAGGGCAGGTGTTCAGCAAAGTCGTGCTTTTTCATGATTTTATATGCACTTTAGGAAATGAAAGAATCCCTAAACATCCAGCTGCTATCTGAAGACCCAACCAACTCTGGGGCAGGAAACAACCAGCTATTAAAACACCCTGTCTGTCTTCCTCCAGGAAGTGACCAGAATTAATTCAATTCAACAAACATCGATTTTGTGCCTATCATTATGCTAGACACTTCCCCAAATGAGAAGCTGGCTCCAGCAAATCAGTCACCACCTCTTAAAAACAAAACACATCACAGCTGGGAGCTCTGCTTTCCTGAGGACTTGGAATCCTAAGTGACCAATTTCAGGCTCGAAGGAAGGGAACCTGTTTATGTTAAGATTTACAGGCTCTGCAGCTGCTTCTGCCTCTCCACCTGCATAAGAGTCTTGTAGAAAACCTTGCAGTAATTCCTTGCAAGACCCTGAGGAAAACGGCAGCATGCCTGCACCTTCCTGGAAGCCAGGTGGAGCAGGTCTCCCCTCCACGACTCCCTCCCCTCTTTCCCTGCCCACCACACTGACACACCCCACACACCCCCTCATGTCCTTAGACCCATTCCCACCTGGGTCTCCATGCACTGGGCCTCTCCTCCTCAACTGGAAAGTCCTTCCTTCTCCACCCACTGTCATGGCCCAGCCACACACCACACCACACCACACCCTCAGGCCTCTGCAGGCCCCTACCGTCTGCCAACACCTCCATCCTCCACCTTCTCCTCCACCCACACCCCCACTTCTCCACCCTCCCCTCCACCCACACCCCCATCTCCCCCCCCCCCCCCCCCCCCCCCCCCCCCCCCCCCCCCCCTCTTAGGAACAGTAAAGACATCGCATGTTTGCTCTCAAAGAGGAGAAAGGGAGAGGAGACAGCAGGGCTCAGGAGGAAGTGAATGGGAGGCCCACAAAAGACAAAGATGGAGGCTGCCGGAGCTTCCTGTCTCAGAATGGTGCCACAGGCGGGGCGGCCCTAATTGAAAAATCCAAAATTTGAAATGCTCCAACATCTAAAACTTTTTGAGGGCTGACATGATGCTCAAAGGCAATGTTCATTGGAGAGTTGGGGTTTTTGGATTCCTGAATTAGGGTTGCTCAGCCAGTAAGTATAATGCAAATATTCTTCCAAAACGCTTCCGGTCCAAGCAGCTCAGGTTAGGGATACACAGCCTGTATCACAAACAGAAATGGGTCCTTCAGGACGGCGCTAAGACATCCCATGTTTGCTAGTCAAATCTTCGCATCCCAATAACAAGAACCCAAACAAGAAGCTGTTCACATAATTTCACATTCCTCTCGCTTCCTGGGTCCACTCACTCAACTCCTGCCAGGCACGTGTCCGCCGCATGCTGGGGCTCCCCTAGCCCGAGGGGGAGGGGAATAGGGTGACATCAAGTCCCCGGGAGCACAGGCAAGGTGCCCACTGGACTCAGGATGGGCTCCCAAACCTCACCCACAGCAGACGCTATGGGCAGAAAGGATGGCGCAGGCGTGGCAGCCCAGGACAAGACCCTAGAGGCACAGCCCACTGAGGAATCCAGAGACCCTGCCCCAACAGGCTGACGTGGGAGCTGGGCCTAAGGATGGGCAGAGGGGTGTCACTGTCCTCTTGGCAGGCGAGAGGTCCCACATCCGGGAGCTGTGGCTGCCAGGCACACTCGAGGATGCTCAGGGAGGGATGCCATAGCTGGGCCCCTGCCAGGCCCAGAGGAGGCTCTAAGGCTGTCATCCTGAAAGCGACAATGCCCGCAGAGGGCAGCCAGCAAGCGGAGGCCTAGTGCCAGACGGACTGGACAGCACAGGTGTCAGGCACACATCAAGCTGAGGCACCACGGTCGACAGTTCACTCCAAGACACTAGTGTCGCAACTGCCTGTTCCCAAACTAAGGAGCAGGCCCCAGGCACACCGCACCGCCGAGGGTGTAGAGGGCACTGCAGTGGCCTGCACCTGCCTGCCTCCCAAGGCTCAGAGACACCGGCTCCTGCCTTCTGTAAATCAGCCTGTAGGACACCCTTGGAGGGAGCCTGTGCTCCCATTCAGACAAGGATATGGCCTGCTGGTGTCTCTGCTCTGGATGGCAGGCACCCTGGGCGTCCTGCCACAGAGCGCTCTTCTATGTTGACAGATAAACTGCCACCCCCGTACCCTCCTGCTTAGGCCAGCGGCCATGTCCACGCTCTGGGTCCACATCCTCCTCTCATCCCTCCGGTCACGTCCTCTCTGAAGCCTGCACTTGTCTGGTCATCTTTTGGGTTCCTTGCTAGCAAGTTAATGAATCTGACAGATTCTTGAGAAAAACTTGACTAAGAAATTTCTTTTTCAAAAAATGTGCCCACAGCTGACCCAAGCTGTAAAATGTACCTAGAGTCCAGCAATTCCCTCGCAGACCCACGACCTGGCCTGGTGCACATCTGGCCTCCCCACTGGTGGTCCTGTTCCCTGCCTGCCCTGTGCCAGCCAGGCTTGGTGCCCACAGAGGCTCCTCGTGGCTCTGTGCTGCTGGCAGGGCCTCTCCTGGGTGCTGCCTCATGGCCTTTCTGCATGTTCTTCCCTCCCCTGACCCCCAACCCAAATAACCCCCTTATAAGAGACCTCCAAGCCCCCATCTAACTTAGACTCCCCAGCATCCTCTCTCTCGGCCTTTGGGTCTTTTCCTTCCCACCAATGACACGGTTGTCAGCTACAAGGCATCTTCCCCAGGGAACTGCCATGGATAGCGGCCAAGCCCTCTGCTTTGCCTGGTGCTGCCTGAAAACCTGCTGCCCAGCACAGCACCCGGCTCCTGGCAGATGCGCGGCCACGGCTGAGGGGAGGCCCGAGAAGGTGCTCAGCAGTGCTCATGAGACACACGACGCAGAGGCCACAGCACGGGGGCCTGGCTGCCCAACAATGGGAGCCCGGGGAGCCTGCGCAGCGTACAGACATGTGTTACTGCAACAGCAATGACGGGAAATGTTCAGTGTACTGCTAAAGCCATGAACGACCTTGTTCTCATTTGACATACAGATTTGCTATTCTTTATGTTCTGCTCCTGGGAGGGGTGGGTAATGAACCCATGGCTTTGTGAGATTAAGGTGGTCAGAATCAAAATGAGCCACTTGTGTTAAAAACCCTAACAAACAGGGCTGGGGAAGGCCATGAAGCAGGGGTTCGAACATTAGCATGCTTGGTAATAAAGATCCAGCACAAAGACTGCACAAACCACAGCCCTGCACACAGGCCCTCGAAGCCTACTCAAAGCACACTGTGAGGACATCTGCCCAGCAACTGCCCACGACCTTCAGCCTGGCATCAGCCTGGGTGCTGATCCTTGTAGCAAGGATAATTATCTCAGAACAATCATGTGATCCTCATTTTTCCTTTAAAAACCTTTGTCTTCCTTGGCCTCTGCGGCTATGGATTGTAGACGTGGCAAGTGTCTGCCCACTGCAGTGCCCCACCCCCAGACAAATATCCCTTCTTTCAGAGAGCATCTCTGTTATTTAGGTGGACAGTGACAAGAAAGTTTAATTGTGTGTGTGTGTGTGTGTGTGTGTAAGAGATCAATTTGCAGTTGAAGTGTTGTAAAGATCCTGAGATAACAAAATTTAAAATGAAAGAGAGACAAGATCTCACTCTGTCACCTAGGCTGGAGGGAGTGGTATGATCACGGCTCAGTGCAGCCGAAACCTCCCAGACTCAAGTGATCCGCCATCTCAGCCTCCTGAGTAGCTGGGACCACAGGCATGGCTAATTTTTGTATTTTTTGTAGAGACTGGGTCTTGCTGTGTTGCCCAGGTTGATCTCAAACTCCTCTACTCAAGCAATTCGCTATCCTTGGCATCCCAAAGTGCTGGGATTGCAGGCGTAAGCCATGGCACCCCGCAGCCCTGACCACACCCCGGGTTGGCAGCTCTTCCACAGTCAGCCTTGAAACTTGCTCCCGGCACAGGCAAAAGACAGGAAGTCCAGCGCGTGGTCACACGCAGATGTGCTGTGTGCTTTGGAGAGGCAAAGGAGAAAGGAAGAGCCTAACGAGCAGACAGAAAACCATTCCTGCAAAGAACTAATCCCACTCACGGGAAGGAGGCCAGCAACAAACGTGACACCTCCATAGCAGGGAGAGACCAGCATCTACTCGTGTTTCTCAAACTGCCAGAGTTTTTTATTTAATAAACTCAGAAAATCTCCACTGATTGAGCACCCCCTGCTGGTGTGACATAATCTCAACTCTTCCCAAAAGAGTACTAAAGAGGGAAGACAATAAAAGCGGTCTCAAGGGCCACTGTTTCAAACTCCAGCTTTGAGGTTGAGAAGGACTCCTCATGACTATCTGAGAAGACACGCGGGGCCCCAGGGCACCATCTACACCGCCCGGCCTTTGGCCACCGCACCCACCACTCAAGGGCACTGAGCGGAGAGGGCCCACAGAGCCCGGCCAGCCCAGCTCCCAGGCATCCAGGATGCAGTGAGCCAGCGTGAGCTAGCTGGCTTCAGGGAGAACCACGGGCCTCAGGCCAATCAACCTGCCTGGCTACAGGGCCCCAAGGGACAGCCAGTCAACTGGCATTACTATCACAGACAGGACCAGAGAAGCACTGGGTTCCCTCCAAA